CTGCCTGCCAGATTCCCTCTCCTCCTCATTTTCACATTCATTGTCCCAGACTTATGAAATTCCTGCCAAAATCACAAAGAAAATGTATGATTATGTGGAGAAACTTGCATAATTGTAAACTTATTATTTCTCAAACTAAGCAGGGGAGGGAGATCTCAGCAACTTAGAACCTGGAACCTGCGGAAGATTCCCTCCCCTCCTTATTTTCCCATTCCCTCAAATCAGATTGTCTTTGCGGCTTGGCTGTGATGCTGTTCAGAACACCGCCACCTACTCCACTGGTTGTGCCATTGAGGTTTAAAAGGAAATAGCATGTGCCCTCTGGGCCACCGTAATATTAGCAGACAATATAAATTTACACATTCAGTGATAAAATGTCACAGGGAATGGTATGGGGGGGTGGTCATTTAAAAAGGGGGATGATTTTAAAGAATTGGGGATGCCATCCCCCCGAAACTCGAGTACCGCTGTCTTTTAATCAGAGTGTGTTTGGTACTAAAACAACTGAATATAGCCAATGATGTTCAGTCTCAATCAATTATAAATAAGTTTGGGTTTGAAAACTTTCCTATGAATTCTTTTTTTTTTATGTTGAGAGAAAGGATGCAATAATTTTAAGTGTAGTATTTTTTTATATCACACAGGTAAAGAGCATAATTTCAGAAAGGTCAGCAGTGATAAATCCACCACCCATGGAACCCCATATGACTACATGTCCGTGATGCACTATGGCAAGAATGGTTTTAGCAATGGGAATGGGAAAACAATCATCACGTTGGACCCTAGATTCCAAGATGTTATTGGTCAAAGGCTTGAAATGAGTCCTACTGATGTAGAAGAACTGAACCTCCTCTACAACTGCAGTAAGTGCTTACAGATAAAATTAGCAAAACGTTTTATTTGGTTTTGGTTTAAATCCATCATTTGGTCTAAACAAAAGAAAGACCAACATTGGTGTTTTAACATTCTGTTATTTTCCAAAGGAAATTGTTATTTAAAAAAAATCAGTGTAAAATTTTTAAAGAATATTTTTTAAATCATTTTAAAAATAATCCATTTATTTTATACCTTGGAGAACTTGCTTGCCCTCCCTCTTTTCAAACATTTTCTATTGCAAAATGTTTTGTTATAGATTTAATACTTAACCTTTTAAAGGAAATATGATCACATTAGACCATTCTTAACCCCCATAAAAAAAACTTTTTTGATGCTCTTCACATTTTTTCCAAGTCCAACTTTGAAGAGCTCCACTTTTGCATCAAACGTAATACTATAATTTTCAGAATTACATAAAATGATATTAAGTAAAATTACGGAACTAACATTAACATAAATAATCATTTTCTTTTCCAGATGCAACTATTTCCTTTATTTTTTACTGTGGCTTTTCCAATGGAACTATGTGCCAGATGAGTCGCTGTTCACAAAATGGAAGTAACTGGGAAGTCGTCACACAAATCCCTGGGGGTCCAAGCTCTGACCATACCAGTCTATCAAGTGGAAGTGGAGATAATGGTTAATTTATTTATTTTTTTCACCTTAAATTCTATTATCGTAATGATAAATACAATTTAATGACTTGTGAATTTTGAGTTATTCATCGGTGCCTGCAAAATGTGTTTCATAGTTTTCATGGATGATTTCATTGGTTTAAATGTAAATGTAAAAGATTCCTTTCAAAAAACCCTTGCATGTCTATATGTTAAAACAAGAAAAGTGTAAAAAAAGAAAAAAAAAAAAAAGAAAAATAATAATCAAAACACTGTTGATGTCACAGAAAAATGTTTGTCCTAAAGGTTTTGTGAAACAATTTTTTTCACTTCACTTCCGATAAGGACATGCTATTATAAACATATCAAAAGAGGTCACACATATTTAATTTAAGATTATAAATTATATTTTCTACTTTAATTCATTGTGCAAATGGCTCAAGTCATCTGTAAAATGACATCAAGGTTAGAATCCACCAGAAAAAAAAAAGTTTTTGATGTCCTTTCAGGTACACAAACGGGATACTTTATACATGGAAGCACCGCAACAGGTCAAGAGGGCGATTCAGCACGGCTGGAAACTGAAGAAGTGAAGCCTAAAAGAGGATGTAATGTTCAATGCTTGCAGTTCTACTATTTCCACAGTGGAAATGAATCAGATGAACTTAATATCTGGATCAGAGAATTCCAAGATGAACAGGACACCAATGGAACTCTCCGCCTCATGAGCCAGATTACTGGTAATGTGTAGCTAAGTTAAAAAATTGAACTAATTGTTTAATAATTTCTTTGTCTCCTGGTTTTGTTTGGGACTCCATTAATTTTCTCTTTTGCAAGTTTTAATGTATAAATTGTGTAATGTAGTTAATGTTTGAAAATATTACCGCAGGTTCACCTACATCTCACTGGAAGATCCACCATGTTTCCTTGAATGCCACCAGGAACTTCCAGGTGGTGTTTGAGGTTCGGAAAGGAGCAGGAAACTCTACAGGAGGCTTCTCAATTGATGACATTAATCTCTCAGAGACAGAGTGTCCACATGTTGTCCTGCAGATTGATGACTTAGAAAATCTTTTAAACACAAGCGACACTGGAACCAGAATATTCAGTCCACGACAATATTCAAAAGATGGCTATGCATACCGAATATATGTTAGACTTGACAAAACATCTGTTGGAATGTTTGTGCAGCTCTTGTCTGGTGATTTTGACAATGAACTGCAGTGGCCTTGTCTGCAAAGACAAATGACTTTCCAGCTGTTAGATCAAACCCCGAACAAGAAACTGCAAATGTCCAAGGAAAATGCTTTTGTTTCAGTTGAAACTCAAGTGAGTAGTGGTAAGTCTACAACTAATATTTCCACAGACAACATCTAACCGACATTTGGAAGAATATGTCTAGGGACAAAAAAAAGATTCTCACTGTTCGTCTCTATAAACAGGTATACTTATCTGGAACAATCCCAGGGACAGTGGAACTTTGATTCACGATGAATATGATGAGTATTTTTATGGTGGACCCGGCAGGGGTTACGGACCATTTGCGACCTTGGAAGAACTGCAATCCAGAGAGTTCCTCAAGGGGGGTAGTGCCATTTTTATGTTTAATTTTGAAGGTCAGTTAAATGTGTCAAAGTCAATTTGTAATATTGCAATAACTTATGTCTTATATATCTATCTATCTATCTATCTATCTATCTATCTATCTATCTATATATATATATATATATATATATATATATATATATATATATATATATATATAGCGTTTAACATTCTTTAGGGAAACTTCATATTCTCTGGTATTTTATTTAATGTTTTTACAAAAACAGCTCTTTTTTACTTGAATGTATTTTATTGAATTTTCTCTTTTTTGATACAGCAAAACTTACAGACAACAAACTTAACCTTTTAACATGTACTTATACACACTTAGATTTATTCATGCATTCACCATTTAAACCTGCATTTGTCTAGTTCCAAAAATATACAAAACCCTTTAGATTAAGCCAGAGACTTAAAAAAAAAAGGGGAAAAAAGAGGCAATGTATGAATAAAACTGTAGTCAAAACTCCCATCAGTAAGCTCCACTTTCAGTCTCTATAATCCTCATATATGGCTCCCACAGATCCTCAAAGTCCCATTGTTTGCCCTTTGCTATGCAAGTTTTTCCAGTCCGAGTGAGCTTGCAACTTTTTTCCTCCAGAGTCCCATGTAGGGGTCTTCCATGCTCTTCCAGCATAGTGCAATATATCTTATGGCTTAAAGAGGTCCGTATTCTATCAATGTAGCTGTCTTCTGTGATTGTTTAAATTCTGTTGGATATATTCCTAGAACACAGATTTTAACCTCTAATGGGACTTTTACTTTAAGCAATTCAGATAGATAATAACATCCTTCCAAAACATCTGGACTTTAGGACATTCCCATAAACAATGGAGAAGAGTTCTTTTTTGAGATAAACATTTAGTGCAAGTATCTGGAATATCACTGGACATATGATGAAGCCTAACTGGTTTTATATAGATTCTCATAAGCCATTACAAAAAACATCTTTGACTAGTTGTTACAAGAGGAAATGATTATGACAAAATATCCCGATTTGGTTGTGGTTAGTGGACCCAAATGCAGATGCTGAAAGGCAGGGGTGAGTTCTTAAAATTTCTTTATAGAATAAACACAGGAAACAGAGGCAGGAATCCAAAAATCCAAATAAAAAATATAAAACAAACCAGAACCATGGAGACATCAGGGGAAAACAGTCACGAAGAGCCAGGGTAAGATAAGGTGAGACGAGGTAAGGTGAAGTAAGATGAGGAACCAGCACTGAGGAACTGCACAAGGTGTGTATTTATGGGAGACTGAACAAAGAGATGACTAACAAACAGATTGGGAGCAGGTGTGAATAGAGCAGCAAAGGATGGAGCTAGGGAAAAGGAGAGTTTACACAAGAGGGAAACGGATGGAAACAAATAAAAACTTTAGAACTAAAATATATCTATGAAATACAACAAAATAGGAATTAAACCAATAAAACTAGGAAACATGGAGCAAAGTAAACATAAAAGAATCAAGACCGTTACAATCCCAATTAATCCAAATAAGCTTAAAAAAAGTTTGAGGAAATATGCACCAACTAAGCTCTTCTTGCTGCTATCTTGATATTGTATCCAGAGCTTTACTTAAGAATGCTCTTCCTGTCATAATATCTGATTAAACACAAATAGTAAATACACCTTTTCCTCCTTTTCATCAAATTACGTATTGTTTTAGTCACTTTAATTATTTCTATTCATTAAGTATTCAATTTTTCTTATGCCACTGCAACATACTTTTCTGTGTGTGTTTTCTCACTTGTTTCTTTTTATTGAACAAGCAGCAATTTGAAGTTGACTTGCCTCGCAATATTTTAACTTGGAAATGGGACATTGTCTTTTTTGTTTCTCTGGACTCTTTTTGTCATCCACAAGAAGGAGTATAGGATTAGGTTAAAACATTTCATTGTTCAAGAGACATTGTATTTGTTTTCCTTAATGGCATTTTGTGTATTGACAGATCTCACCCCACTGATCAATGGAACTACTCTGCCATGTCCTCAGTTAAGACCAATAAACACAACAAATCCTACCTCAAATCTGGAAGGAGGTCCATGCCTACAACGGTAAAAGAAATTGTGAAATGAATACTTACTGTTGTCAGATTAGTTTACATTCCCAGAAAATGCTTTAAAAGGAGTTATTATATCTCAAGAGTCTGTAATCTCTGAGGGTCGGGAATCTCAATACTTTAACATGTAGAACGTTTTTTATAATTGTACCTAGCTTTTAATACCATAAAACTAGTCATGATTGAATTAAAATTTAAAACTCAATGCTATGTAAGGGATTTAAATTCAAACTTAGGTCATGTATCTATGTATCTACAGACAACAGGTATTGCCTTTAAATGATGTTCCAGTCTCTCCTTCCCTTCCTTGTCTTCTTTCAGTTCTTTATTTTTCCATGGAAGAACTACACATTTTTTCCACATTAATAGATAATATATTTGCATACCTTATAGATAACAACACAATAAGAGGATTATTTCTTGATAACATCACCAAACTTTCTACCTGTGTTTGTAGTTTATGACAACTATTACAGGAAAGCTGCTAAGGATAGCAAACAAAATTACAAAAGAATGAGAAGAGAGAAGCCAATAAATGCATTTGGAAATTCTTTTCTTATTCAAAAATAGGACTTAATACTCCAAGAGATAAAAACAAAGATAACTTAACTGTTCTGACTTTTCAAAAAATGTAATTACTGCTCAATAAAAAAGAAGTTAATTGAGAAACACAAACTACTTTATAAAAGTCAGTATGGATTTAGGTCACCGATATTCACTGCTATGGTGACTCTGTAACTTATAGAGGAAGTAATCAGTGCCAAAAATAAAAAGCTGTATGTATTTCACATAATTAATTATAATATATTAATCACGAAATAAGAGCATTATGGTGTATGGGTTTCATTTACAGTAATGTTTGGACAATGCATGTGGTTTCCTCCAGGGTTTAGTATTGGGACTTATACTGTTAATTCTCTACATAAATGACATATATAAAGTTTCACAAGTATCCAAGTTGGTTTTGTTTTCAGATGATCCAAATATGTTATGTACAGTTGAGAGCTTACGACAGGTCTTCGAAGGAATTCACTGCAAAGATTAATAAGCTAGAAACACTGGTTTGACGAAAAAAAAGTTGTCTTTAAACGTGGAAAAAAACACATTTAGAAATGATAAAGGAAACATAGATGTGAAAGTCTGAAAATATGGGTAGATGTGGAGAGAGTAACTTAAATAAAACTAATTTGTGATAATTGTCTACAAGGTCTGCTGCCAGTCTCACATCAAAGATGTTCAGAAAAAAATTCTATATAAGCATTGCAATTCTCTGTAAAGCAAAATATTTTCTGCACTTTACAGCTTTACACATTCTTTGCTGTTCACTGCTTTTACCGTACTTGTGCTGATGTATAGTGTTGAAGTGCTTAGGAGGTGTTAATCCAAAACAGTAAATTACTGTGTCGTCTGCATAAATATGCAAATTAGCATCTGATACGTTTTCGCAAAGTAACTTAATATACAAAATGAACAACAAGGGACCCAATGTTCAGCCCTGTGGTACCTCCTTTTAGACATTTTAAAATTCTGAACACAGAACATAACATTTAACGCACTAAAGGGCTAGTTATGCTCCCACGGTGGTGAGTCGCAGTGGTTTGTCACAGATATTTTTGATTTAGGCCCAATATTGAAGCGTTGTCTGCGCTATGTTATTCCAAGCCACAACGCAAGAGGGACAATCACGAACGAGGTGTGGGTCTAGATACGGCAAGGAAGTGGAAAATTGCAAGGGGCAAGTTTGTGGGGCAATAGAGGGACATGAGGGCGAAAAAGAGTGGGGATCCAGGTGCGAAAAGGGTCCCAGCGTTCTCACGCACCTCGCTCTTCATGCTGGTCCATCTTCACGAGTCCTTTTCCATAATCGCAGTTAATACGAAGAAAACAAGCTGGTAAGGTACCAAACAGGAAAAACGGATAGTGTACAGCAGATGTAGATTTGACCAATCAGATGCCCCCTGTCTGCGGCACGGTCTTCAGTCAACTACAATTATGGAGAGGTGCACCAGTGTCTGCAGAAGGACGGGGGTACATTTGCTTTCACTGCGACACAGAGGTAGACAACCTGGTTTCTGAGCATAAACCAGCCTTTAGTTCTTTCACTCAGATAGTTTGTCAAGCAGGAGTCAGCACCGTCTGATAATCCAAACCTATGCTTTGAAACAGCATGGTCCACAGTCTCAAAAGTTATTGACAGGTCAATAAAGGCAAAGCACAGCACAACTTTTTTATCAAGACTAACAAGTATGTCATTAAGCACAGTAGTAAAAGTGTTGATTCTACAGTTTTTTTTTTCATGAAGCCTTAATGCTGAAGTACCATACCTGTTCTTTCTCAGAGATACTTGGTTTATATATTATATTCAAACTAAAATAGATCTACTCTTACTGAGGATTTTATTAAAAATTACATTTCACTCACATTTTTGATGACATTTTAAATGTCCAAACATTGAAAGCTGCTATTGACATCCATTAATCTTATCTCATATGCCTCTTTAAATTATTTCTCGTGTGTCTACTCAAATAGTTTGAGATGAGCAAAGTCTTGCCAGATAAGTGTCTTTTCACTTTCAAGGCAGCTAGGTGGGCAATTTTGTCAGCAGAATCTAAACCTCAGGCGTAATTGTTATTAACTTTTGACATGGTATCATATTGTGTGAGAAAGAGTGAGTCCTTTTCTACAGAGCAGATGAATGTGGTTTAGTTGTATAAAGCCAGGCTGCACTTTTTGGTCTACATGCAAAATGGTAGCTGAGACTAAAAACTGAACACACACATGCCATAATGAAACAAATGAGTAACTCAACTTCAGAACTGTAGTCTATTCCTAATTTAGTGATCTAATTATAAGTATAACTCTATCACTAAACAAATGAAGTTGACTACTGATGACTAAACTGGTGCACATTCTGAATGTGTATTTTCTTCTCTTCTAGTATTTCCGGATTCTGTCCTGGTATGGTGGCATCTCGATTCCTCGCAGTCTCGCTGGCACTGATCTTACTGTTGTTCTGAAATATACATCCAGAATAAATCCTTTTTGTCTGCATAGTCATACAAATATTTTTAGGTTCTCTCAGGTATGCATAAATGACCTTAAATTACTTTAGAGGATGACAGTTGATAATTGGTTCTAAAAAGGTGATTTGTATATCAATTGTGGTGATGGACATGTATTTTTTTTTTTGAGCATGTATCTGCAGTATATTGACGTGTATGTCAAAAATCTGTCTAAAGCTTGGTTTTTGTTTAGTCAGTTAGATTCATCTATTCATACCTGAATTTCTGAGGCAAGCCTGTGATATTAAGTTTGAAGTGAAACATATATTTTTGTTTCCAAATATATTTTGCTATAACGTGTAAACATTGGTGATACATGGCCAATTTAAAACACGGGCTGCCCTGTGATACAGTGGGTAATGCTGTTGCCCTGTAGCAAGAAGGTTCTGGCTGCAATTCCTGGCCTGGGGTCTTTCTGCATGGAGTTGACATGTTCTCCCCATGCATGTTTGGGTTCTCTCTCTCCGGGTACTCTGGCTTCCTCCCACAGTTCAAAACATAACTGTTAGGGTAATTAGCTTCTCTGAATTGTCTTTAGGTGTGAGTGTGCATGGTTGTGTGTCTTTGTGTGTCTCTGTGTTGCCCTGCGACAGACTGGCAACCTGTCCAGGGTGTGACCCTGCCTCTCACCTGTATACTGCCAGAGTTAGGCAATGGGCCCACCATGACCCTGCCAAGTACTAAGTGAGAGAAAATGATGGATGGGTGAATTTTAAAATACTGTGTTTTTTCTTACTTTGTACAATGTTCTAGCAAATAAAAAAGAATAAAAAGAAACATCCCCAAAAGTTTAAAGGTCTTACTTTTTTAATGTCACTGTTTAGCAACTATAAATTGGCTGTATTGTTTTCTTAATCTGACAACATAATTTCCACCATGGTCAAATGCAGGGAATAGCGTTTTATAGGTATAAAAGTGTGGAACAACTAATTAACATGGAGTTTTCTAGCCAAAGCTTGTTTTGTAAACCCTTATCTGGAAATATCTAGTCAAATAATTTCAAATCAATTATTTATTTTTTTTTTATGTAAAGCCAATTCACAAAAAAGTTTTGTGAGGAAAACAAGCTGATTGTATCGAATCATTGACTCAACAGCAGTCCCTCACACCAAGCATGCATATAGCCACAGTGGAGAGGAAAACTCCCTTTAACAGGAAGACACCACCAGTAGAAGCAGGCTCAGTGTGAGCGACCATCTGCCGAGGCCAACTGGGGTTCAAGGAGAGAGAAGCAGACATACAAAGAAGCAGAAATACAAAAGGTAACTGTCAGGCAGCTCCATATGCGACCCTGTCCAGGAAAGAACCAGCTCCAAGCCAACTCCCATGTCAGAATATGAAAGACAGAACTTAAAGTTAGTCACAGGGAGAGGAAAAAGGACTACACTGAAAAACAGGCCAAGCTCCAACATTGCCAACATTTCTCTCTAGGACAGCACTACAGCAAAACAGGAACATACCAGATGAAGCTACAAAACTTATAGCAGCTAGCTAGCTAGCTATCTCAGGATGACCTGAGCCACTCTAGATATAAGCTTTGTCAAAAAGGAAAGCTTTAAGCCTAGTCTTAAGAATAGTTCTTCCTCATGGACTAAAACTGGTACTTTGTTCCACAGGAGATGAGCCTGATTACTAAAAAACTTCTCTCTTATTCTACTTTTATAAATTTTTGGAACCACTACTAATCCTGCAGATTGAGAGCAGTGTCTCTGTTAGACAGTGCTCTGTTGTGAACATAAGGAACAATCGGATCTCTGATATATGAAAGAGCTTGGCCATTTAAGGCTTTGTTTATGAGAAGGAGGATTTTAACTTCTATTCTGGATTTAATAGTAATGAAGTAAATAGAATCTCTTTTTTAAAATATTCATAAGAACTCTGGCTGGAGTACTTTTGATCAGTGTAAGGCTTTCATCTACAGTTTGTGGACCTTCTGAAAGTATAGAATTACAGTAGGCCAGCCCTGAGGTAAAAAATGCATGGACTAGTTTGTCAGCATTGCCCCTAGGCAGGATCATTCTAATTGGAACTAGAGATTTTAATGCAGAAATTCAATACATAAAAGAGCATAAGAAAGGACAATGTATTTAAAAGAAAGACAGGAAGGAGAGGAATTTGGCGAAGATTTTTGCTTGACTTATATGGTCTATATATATATATATATATATATATATATATATATATATATATATATATATATACATATATATATTAAATTATCTTTTATCTTTTTTTATTATCTTTTTTCTTTTCTTTTTTTTTACTAGATCAGGAAATAAAAAAGCGTGATTGGCTGTAAGGAGGGCGGAGACAGTGGCACTCTGAAATGACTAAAGAAAACCTGCTACCGACCTGGTTACTTAGAAGACTGAAACAGAGGTTGATAAAACTGTGAACCAGAAAAGTCAGTTTCCTTTTTTAAAGATTAGACAACTTAGAGTGTTCGGTAAACCTGCCTTATGAAATGGATCCCACGTCTTTTTTTGCAGGAAAGGCATCCATGGTTTCATAATACATACATTTTTTAAATGCAATTATGAGCCCTGTCCAGCAGATGGCACCCCATGCAGCCCTCTGTGTCACCTGCAAAGCTGGCTCTGTCTAAACCTCATGTTTAGACATGTTTGTATGCTTGTATTCAAAGCTTTGATGCCAACACTGCTGGTGTGGTCCAAGCTTTGAGACCTAGAAGTTCCCTCAGGCATGTTCCAGGGCTGGCCCTGGACAGGCAGACCTATCTTGATTGAAAGATCAGGACTTTCTGTTTTTAACAAACTGAAGAACATTGGATGACCATCATCTAACAACACAACACAGAAGAGCACATAGAAGCAACGATGATGTGACAATGAAACCAACCACAGTCACTTGCTAAAAAAGATGAGGAGGGAGGAACCACATCACATAGATAGAAACAGGGACTGATATACAGAAATCAGGCCCCTGAGACACTTAGACTCAACTTTATTTAGCTCTTGGGATTACTCCTTCAGGGAAATTCTCGTACCAGTAGCTTATATAGAGTACAAAGAGTTAAATCAAGATGCCATTAAAGATTAAAAAAAAAAGAAAAAACACAACAGACAATATAAAAAGAGTGTATATAGTACAAAAAAAGCATAAAAAGTTGTATTTTCCTAGAATATGTTTCGTTTAGATATAAAATCTATCTGCAGTGTGGAGCAAAGGAAACACTACACAGCAGTTGACTAGGAATTTTGCACCTGGACTGCAGAAATAAACTGACAATATAAATAAGGGAAAATTGAACAGACTACACAGTAGTTGACTTGGATTATTGCACTTGTACTGCAGCAATCTCCCACTTATCAGGCTCCTCTGAGTGGTGAAGACAGTACGCAGACGTTGACTGGCAATGTTCATAATGTCCAGCAATTTGTTTAAGTGTTCTTGTCTCTGCCACAGTCCCCAGTGTCCAGCTTCTTGCCAATCACAGGGCTGGCTCGCCTCACCAGTTTTTCTAGTCTGGAGGTGTCCTTGGATGTGCTGCTCCCCCAGCACACCACAGTGTAGAAGAGGACAATGGCAAACACAGACTGGTAGAACATCTCCAACAGCTTGTCGCAGTTGTTAAACGACCTCAGTCTCCTCAGGAAGCATATTCTGGCCTGTGTTTTCCCGATGCAGGTGAATGGCGTGTGTTGACCAACTTTCACTCACTACATAAAAACTCGGACATTGACTTTTGGGCTGGAAGACAGAGACCA